AGGTTATCAAAATATTGATGTATTTATTAAGGAATATGCAGTATATTGATATTTATGATTAACCCTTAGATGCACGAGTGACTGGACCCTACACTCTTCCATAAGTGGGTCAAAAAGGACCCGTATTAGAATAATATGTGTTTTATGCCATTTTTGTCATTTTGGTTAAGAAAAATCCCTTGTATAATATTTTGGTTCACACTAGTTTATATTTATTTTTTCACTATTTATAATTTTAGACATTCTTTTTACATTTTGAAAAAAAACGAAATTCCATAGAAAATGCATGCGGGTCATTTTTGACCCACTTATGGAAGCTTGGGGTAGTAATACAAAAACTACAATTTCTTAAAATGTATCAAATTTAAAATTTGAATGGCATGATATCCAAAACATGTTTTTTGAGGAATAGCTGGAATATGAAATGATAAAAAATGTATTTACAAAGATACTCTAAGAAAATCACCTCACCGGGTCAAAAAAGACCCAATTATATATCTACAGTAAGGGTTAAACAAATAAGCTACATGTTTTGATTATAATTTATAATTTATTAGGATTGCTTTCCACACCAAACCTTACATTAGAGCTTTAATCTCTAATCTCTAACTCCCTAATTATGTCATTTATCCTCCTCTTTTTGTGTCCTCAGGCAATAAACCTGTCATTCTGGTTTTGATGCACCACGCATATGAGGCCAAGTTCATTCCAAATGTGCAACAAGGAGCTAACGTTCAGCTGCAAGTCAACGTTTTCTTCCACGAGATGAAACATGGACTGCTCCACTGTGGAGAAAATGGAGCTGTTGTTTGCGAGATAACAACATTTTTAAAAGAGATCCCCATTCCAAATGCCCAGGTTCTGGCTGCTGCAGTGGCGGAGCTGCCGGGTGGCTGGGAGTGGCCATCCTGGACACCCCGTTGGCCACACCAAACACCCTCACCACCACCCTCAAATCAGGTGAGCTTTCAAACTAAAATGTGAGATTTAATAGAGGCTACATAGAAACTAGGCCTTAATTAAGTCATTCAATATTTCTGTAATATAACATTTTTGTTTCAGAAGCCCGTTAAACAGCCCCCCCCCACAGGGGTGAATAACGGCATCCCTTCCAAGGGTATGTACAACCTTTTAACATCCCTTTCACTTTCACATTTGGCACATACTTGCTATTTTGGTACGGTGAAAAGCCCTGGAAATGCTTGTCACTGAACTTTGAGTTTAGAGTATGTCATCCCAGACTTTGTCCTACTGGGTAAAGGGTAAACATCTGTCCACCTTAGCAAACATATGTGCTCAGTTAATCAAATCTATGTGGTTTATTTTTTTGCCAGTCATTTAATTATGCTATTTCCTTGACATTGTCTTTGACACACGGAAATACCCTATCCATGGTTGGTCTAATGTATAAGTAGAACACTTTGAGCTTATAACCCAAAATGAATGTCCCTTTTGGAGTTGATTTTGAAATGTTTCTTCTTCAAGAATTTTCTCATGTCAATGTTTGTTCATGTTTACAACAGCAGAGTTTTTTCAAATTCTACATGACTGGTAGAAAGTTTGGAATCATTTGTTTTATTGAAAAATCCCCAAAATTATAATTCAGACACAAATGTATTATTCATATTGAAATAGCAAAAGAAAAACAATTAAATGAGTACATCTTCTACAAAGCTGATGGTCTCAGAGTTTGCCTGACAAGGGAGATAACTGTTTGTTACCACATTTCCCTCCAAAGACCCTTCGATTTTAAATTGTTTATCAGTTCAGAAGAGCGTATGTGACAGTCAAGTCATTTTTAGCCACAACCGGATGTTTGGGGAAATTGTTCCTCTTTGGGTCTACTGTGGTCAAATGAAATAGGGATAAACTGTGATTTGTTTGTCCATAGCATTTTCAGTTCATGTTCACTGATGATGTTATACTGAGTGCTAACCTGTAAGACTAAGCATCTATTTCTGTTGTGAGAAACAGTGTTAGGTCTTCATGGAAAACATGACTTTTTTGGAAACACTTAATAAAAAAAAGGATCTGTGTGTAAAGCATACTCTCTCCAACCTTAGAGTAAAGTAATATAAAGTAGTTCTCTCAGCCATTTCACTGTGTCCAATCAAGCTTTAATGGAAGGAGATCACAAACTTTTGAATGATATTGTGAATGAACCTGACTAATTGATGTTGCTGTTTTTTCTCATCAGAAGAGCCCTCCAAGGTTGTGAATAAACGGAAAGGTGAGTCATAGTTGGATAGTTAGAAACTCAGATGTTCACATTTGTTTTTGCGATTGTTTTGGAACTGCATAGCAAAACACATCATTTCATTCTAGTGTAGGTTCTCTCAAGTTATGTTTGTGTATTAATCTCTTTGATATTTACATCCATTTTCCTCCCTACAGGCAAATTGGTGTACCAGATGGTTGTTACCGGGACAACCTTTGGTGCACATGATCAGCTGACGGAGAAAGTGAAGAATGAAGTAAAGGATCAGTTTGATCTTGTTCAAAGCAACAGCAACGACTACGACGTCACTATTGTCTTCTGCCCCATCGTTTCTCGCATGGGGCCAGATGTTGAGTCAGCCCTGAGAGACGTTAAAGGTAAGGGAACATTTGTTTCAGCCGGTTCATACTGAATGGAAATGGCTTATACATTTGTATTCACATAAAGGTTCTTTCTTACTTATTTAAGCATAGTCAGGTTATCAAAATATTGATGTATTTATTAAGGAATATGCAGTATATTGATATTTATGATTAACCCTTAGATGCACGAGTGACTGGACCCTACACTCTTCCATAAGTGGGTCAAAAAGGACCCGTATTAGAATAATATGTGTTTTTATGCCATTTTTGTCATTTTGGTTAAGAAAAATCCCTTGTATAATATTTTGTATTATATTTTGGTTCACACTAGTTTATATTTATTTTTTCACTATTTATAATTTTAGACATTCTTTTTACATTTTGAAAAAAAAACGAAATTCCATAGAAAATGCATGCGGGTCATTTTTGACCCACTTATGGAAGCTTGGGGTAGTAATACAAAAACTACTATTTCTTAAAATGTAAATTTAAAATTTGAATGGCATGATATCCAAAACATGTTTTTTGAGGAATAGCTGGAATATGAAATGATAAAAAATGTATTTACAAAGATACTCTAAGAAAACCACCTCACCGGGTCAAAAAAGACCCAATTATGCATCTAAGGGTTAAACAAATAAGCTACATGTTTTGATTATAATTTATAATTTCTTAGGATTGCTTTCCACACCAAACCTTACATTAGAGCTTTAATCTCTAATCTCTAACTCCCTAATTATGTCATTTATCCTCCTCTTTTTGTGTCCTCAGGCAATAAACCTGTCATTCTGGTTTTGATGCACCACGCATATGAGGCCAAGTTCATTCCAAATGTGCAACAAGGAGCTAACGTTCAGCTGCAAGTCAACGTTTTCTTCCACGAGACGAAACATGGACTGCTCCACTGTGGAGAAAATGGAGCTGTTGTTTGCGAGATAACAAAATATTTAAAAGAGATCCCCATTCCAAATGCCCAGGTTGTGGCCACATCCTGGCCACACCCTTGGCCACACCAAACACCCTCACCACCACCCTCAAATCAGGTGAGCTTTCAAACTAAAATGTGAGATTTAATAGAGGCTACATAGAAACTAGGCCTTAATTAAGTCATTCAATATTTCTGTAATATAACATTTTTGTTTCAGAAGCCCGTTAAACAGCCCCCCCCCACAGGGGTGAATAACGGCATCCCTTCCAAGGGTATGTACAACCTTTTAACATCCCTTTCACTTTCACATTTGGCACATACTTGCTATTTTGGTACGGTGAAAAGCCCTGGAAATGCTTGTCACTGAACTTTGAGTTTAGAGTATGTCATCCCAGACTTTGTCCTACTGGGTAAAGGGTAAACATCTGTCCACCTTAGCAAACATATGTGCTCAGTTAATCAAATCTATGTGGTTTATTTTGATGTCAGTAATTTAATTATGCTATTTCCATGACATTGTCTTTGACACACGGAAATACCCTATCCATGGTTGGTCTAATGTATAAGTAGAACACTTTGAGCTTATAACCCAAAATGAATGTCCCTTTTGGAGTTGATTTTGAAATGTTTCTTCTTCAAGAATTTTCTCATGTCAATGTTTGTTCATGTTTACAACAGCAGAGTTTTTTCAAATTCTACATGAATGGTAGAAAGTTTGGAATCATTTGTTTTAATGAAAAATCCCCAAAATTATAATTCAGACACAAATGTATTATTTATATTGAAATAGCAAAAGAAAAACAATTAAATGAGTACATCTTCTACAAAGCTGATGGTCTCAGAGTTTGCCTGACAAGGGAGATAACTGTTTGTTACCACATTTCCCTCCAAAGACCCTTTGATTTTAAATTGTTTATCAGTTCAGAAGAGCGTATGTGACAGTCAAGTCATTTTTAGCCACAACCGGATGTTTGGGGAAATTGTTCCTCTTTGGGTCTACTGTGGTCAAATGAAATAGGGATAAACTGTCATTTGTTTGTCCATAGCATTTTCAGTTCATGTTCACTGATGATGTTATACTGAGTGCTAACCTGTAAGACTAAGCATCTATTTCTGTTGTGAGAAACAGTGTTAGTTCTTCATGGAAAACATGACTTTTTTGGAAACACTTAATAAAAAAAAGGATCTGTGTGTAAAGCATACTCTCTCCAACCTTAGAGTAAAGTAATATAAAGTAGTCCTCTCAGCCATTTCACTGTGTCCAATCAAGCTTTCATGGAAGGAGATCACAAACTTTTGAATGATATTGTGAATGAACCTGACTAATATTGATGTTGCTGTTTTTTCTCATCAGAAGAGCCCTCCAAGGTTGTGAATAAACGGAAAGGTGAGTCATAGTTGGATAGTTAGAAACTCGGATGTTCAAATTTGTTTTTACGATTGTTTTGGAACTGCATAGTTTTCCTCCCTACAGGCAAATTGGTGTACCAGATGGTTGTTACCGGGACAACCTTTGGTGCACATGATCAGCTGACGGAGAAAGTGAAGAATGAAGTAAAGGATCAGTTTGATCTTGTTCAAAGCAACAGCAACGACTACGACGTCACTATTGTCTTCTGCCCCATCGTTTCTCGCATGGGGCCAGATGTTGAGTCAGCCCTGAGAGACGTTAAAGGTAAGGGAACATTTGTTTCAGCCGGTTCATACTGAATGGAAATGGCTTATACATTTGTATTCACATAAAGGTTCTTTCTTACTTATTTAAGCATAGTCAGGTTATCAAAATATTGATGTATTTATTAAGGAATATGCAGTATATTGATATTTATGATTAACCCTTAGATGCACGAGTGACTGGACCCTACACTCTTCCATAAGTGGGTCAAAAAGGACCCGTATTAGAATAATATGTGTTTTTATGCCATTTTTGTCATTTTGGTTAAGAAAAATCCCTTGTATAATATTTTGTATTATATTTTGGTTCACACTAGTTTATATTTATTTTTTCACTATTTATAATTTTAGACATTCTTTTTACATTTTGAAAAAAAACGAAATTCCATAGAAAATGCATGCGGGTCATTTTTGACCCACTTATGGAAGCTTGGGGTAGTAATACAAAAACTACTATTTCTTAAAATGTATAAAATGTAAATTTAAAATTTGAATGGCATGATATCCAAAACATGTTTTTTGAGGAATAGCTGGAATATGAAATGATAAAAAATGTATTTACAAAGATACTCTAAGAAAACCACCTCACCGGGTCAAAAAAGACCCAATTATGCATCTAAGGGTTAAACAAATAAGCTACATGTTTTGATTATAATTTATAATTTCTTAGGATTGCTTTCCACACCAAACCTTACATTAGAGCTTTAATCTCTAATCTCTAACTCCCTAATTATGTCATTTATCCTCCTCTTTTTGTGTCCTCAGGCAATAAACCTGTCATTCTGGTTTTGATGCACCACGCATATGAGGCCAAGTTCATTCCAAATGTGCAACAAGGAGCTAACGTTCAGCTGCAAGTCAACGTTTTCTTCCACGAGACGAAACATGGACTGCTCCACTGTGGAGAAAATGGAGCTGTTGTTTGCGAGATAACAAAATATTTAAAAGAGATCCCCATTCCAAATGCCCAGGTTGTGGCCACATCCTGGCCACACCCTTGGCCACACCAAACACCCTCACCACCACCCTCAAATCAGGTGAGCTTTCAAACTAAAATGTGAGATTTAATAGAGGCTACATAGAAACTAGGCCTTAATTAAGTCATTCAATATTTCTGTAATATAACATTTTTGTTTCAGAAGCCCGTTAAACAGCCCCCCCCCCACAGGGGTGAATAACGGCATCCCTTCCAAGGGTATGTACAACCTTTTAACATCCCTTTCACTTTCACATTTGGCACATACTTGCTATTTTGGTACGGTGAAAAGCCCTGGAAATGCTTGTCACTGAACTTTGAGTTTAGAGTATGTCATCCCAGACTTTGTCCTACTGGGTAAAGGGTAAACATCTGTCCACCTTAGCAAACATATGTGCTCAGTTAATCAAATCTATGTGGTTTATTTTGATGTCAGTAATTTAATTATGCTATTTCCATGACATTGTCTTTGACACACGGAAATACCCTATCCATGGTTGGTCTAATGTATAAGTAGAACACTTTGAGCTTATAACCCAAAATGAATGTCCCTTTTGGAGTTGATTTTGAAATGTTTCTTCTTCAAGAATTTTCTCATGTCAATGTTTGTTCATGTTTACAACAGCAGAGTTTTTTCAAATTCTACATGAATGGTAGAAAGTTTGGAATCATTTGTTTTAATGAAAAATCCCCAAAATTATAATTCAGACACAAATGTATTATTTATATTGAAATAGCAAAAGAAAAACAATTAAATGAGTACATCTTCTACAAAGCTGATGGTCTCAGAGTTTGCCTGACAAGGCAATAACTGTTTGTTACCACATTTCCCTCCAAAGACCCTTTGATTTTAAATTGTTTATCAGTTCAGAAGAGCGTATGTGACAGTCAAGTCATTTTTAGCCACAACCGGATGTTTGGGGAAATTGTTCCTCTTTGGGTCTACTGTGGTCAAATGAAATAGGGATAAACTGTCATTTGTTTGTCCATAGCATTTTCAGTTCATGTTCACTGATGATGTTATACTGAGTGCTAACCTGTAAGACTAAGCATCTATTTCTGTTGTGAGAAACAGTGTTAGTTCTTCATGGAAAACATGACTTTTTTGGAAACACTTAATAAAAAAAAGGATCTGTGTGTAAAGCATACTCTCTCCAACCTTAGAGTAAAGTAATATAAAGTAGTCCTCTCAGCCATTTCACTGTGTCCAATCAAGCTTTCATGGAAGGAGATCACAAACTTTTGAATGATATTGTGAATGAACCTGACTAATATTGATGTTGCTGTTTTTTCTCATCAGAAGAGCCCTCCAAGGTTGTGAATAAACGGAAAGGTGAGTCATAGTTGGATAGTTAGAAACTCGGATGTTCAAATTTGTTTTTACGATTGTTTTGGAACTGCATAGTTTTCCTCCCTACAGGCAAATTGGTGTACCAGATGGTTGTTACCGGGACAACCTTTGGTGCACATGATCAGCTGACGGAGAAAGTGAAGAATGAAGTAAAGGATCAGTTTGATCTTGTTCAAAGCAACAGCAACGACTACGACGTCACTATTGTCTTCTGCCCCATCGTTTCTCGCATGGGGCCAGATGTTGAGTCAGCCCTGAGAGACGTTAAAGGTAAGGGAACATTTGTTTCAGCCGGTTCATACTGAATGGAAATGGCTTATACATTTGTATTCACATAAAGGTTCTTTCTTACTTATTTAAACATACAGATGGAGCATCTTATTTCAGACTCCAGCTTACTGCTTCCTGCCTACTACCTGCCAGTTACCTGCCTAAGACCTGCCAAAGACCAATATCTGGGAATGTTAAGCCCTCCCACTATTTTCCAAGAGGGCGTTGCCAGATTTTCAATTTCAGGATTTAACCAGGAGATGGCGCTTCCTTCACAGAAACAGGAAGACAGCTTTTCATGGACTTTCAGTTTTGTTTAGAAGAGCATTTGAACACATCAATATTTTAGATCAAATAAAGTATATCTAATCTTGTAATTCAATAATATATAGTCTTTATATATTAAATAACTATGGCCAAACTAAAACTTATTTTTTCACAAGAGAAAATGCAGATATTATATAAAAAACTAAAGTTAAAATCTTGTTTTTAATGCCCCAAGAGCAATAAAAACACTTGGTAAAAAAATCCTGAGAGAGGCTTTCATAAATTGCATTTAGCTGACGCTTTTATCCAAAGCGACTTACTATTTAATAAATGATAAATGATTATTCATAACAAATATGAGTGATGTGTGATTATTATTCATGTTATATACTGATATTGGGCTAAGTAAGCATGCAATCCTGCAAATTAACCCTTAGTTGTTCAATATATTTATTCAGACAATGTGAGTAGAAATACAGAAATTCTGCTCCCACCTAAGGCCAACGTTGCAATATTACAACATTTCCCTAAAAACTTACCAAAACGTAAACATTTTTAAAACTCTTTCATTTCTGCTCCAGAGGCCAGGGGTTAAATTGGGATTTGATATGTGGGGGGGCTCTGTTAGAAGGTGCGACGGGGGAGGGGGGAGAGAGTTAGACGTTGGCGTCCGGCCGTTCTGTGATTCTCCAGAACTCACAGCTGGCCAGGGATAAGTCCCGACTCTCCCGACGGCCAATCCGTGCCTCCCCTGACTGCACGTTGCTGACACACGCCGCTGCAAACTCTCTGCACGGAGGAGCCGCGGAGGAAGAGACACACGTTCACTAAGCCGAAAAAACTATATCCGGTCACAGTGATCTGCTATTTTAAAGTAAATTCAACACATATCGACCCTAAATATAGCATATATTAAGAACGAGAAAGTGTTAACATCGTTTTTTGTAAACATATGACAAATGTGCGAGGGTGATGACATCAGAGCATCGTCCTATGGGCTTAGCCCCGGACAGGTACAACAGGTATTCACTCAGAGGGGGGTAGGTACTAAATGCCACCCATTTCCATGTAGGCAAACAAAGTCAAAAATCAACATACAGTAGGGGGGTGGGGGATGGTGAACGGTATGGTCAATGTTTGTAAACACAATCCCCAGGATGTGTCCTTATCAAACCAAAATAGAAAATGCAGATATTACACTCAGACATTGGAAAAGTCTATGTTAAAAAGCCTCAGTCACCTTAAGTCATGTAATAAAAACATCTCAGGTCAGTAACACTGAAAGCTAAATGTGCAATACCATGTTCAGCTATGTTACTATTTATAATGTTATTGTTGTTACAACAGAAGATGTTTTTCTTTATATTGAAGTTAAATGCATCAATCTGGTGCACTTTGAGGTCAAAATTAAGAGATTTATGGATACCGCTGGAAAAAGCTGCATATGCCGAGCCTGTACGTAGCGCTGTAACTTCCTCCACAAAAGCAGCCTTCTGTTTATTCAACGTGGTGGGGGCCGAGGGAACCGGGCAGAGTTTTTCGCCGGTCAACGTGTGTGAAAGTTTAAATCTTCCTTATTGAGCTTTAAAACAAATTAATAACGACTATATATAATAATAAAATAAACACCGGCTGTTGTTATGCCTGCTGTAACGTTAAATTACTCCGTTCTCCGCTTAAGTAATTATGCCGTTACAAGCTTCATAGTTGTATTTATCATCTAAATTTGCCAAAACAAGTTTAATATTCTGAAAGCCAAGACTTTGTTTATTTGAAATCAGATGAAAACAAACTGTAACGGACCCTGCCGTGTTATCTATGATTACTATGCCTTACTGTACATTCATAATTTCAGCCGGAGGGAGGTGGGCGGCGCTGCGGAGGAGCAGATTGCGAGTGAGGTGCCTGTCATCTTCCCTTTACAAGCTTCACAAATGTATTTATCGTGTGATTTTGGAAATAAAAGTTTCATATTCTGAAAGCCAAGACTTTGTTTATATATTATACGTGGGTAGCTATGACATCAGAAGGAGTTACCGTAAATGAGAGCTGCCGTAAAAGTGTTTCTAGGATTTCTAAACGAACTATTACAGCTGTTATAAAGCATTAAATAAAAAGTCATGAAAGAGATAAGGAGGAGAAAAGGTTTAAGGAAGTAAGCAAGGAATACAGAATGTTGAAATCCTCTGTTTCACGCGATGTCGAACATTGAAGACAGAGGACGGCGGTCCCCCAATCTACACAGCGGGAGAATCACGATCTTTCCCACATTAGTGCAATTCACCTATACTTAACCCCAAATAAAAGAACCCAATAAAAACAGTTGTTAAATAATAGTGAAGTCACGTTGTAATAATAACTCATCTCTCGGTTTGAGTGTTCTTTTTCTGCTTTTCTGACTATTTCTCATTGTGGGGAAAAATAACACCCAGGGTCCTGATCGTTTTAATGAAGTTGAATACAGAATATTCATATTTGTCAGTGATTTCATGTCAATTCGGCGAACATAAACATAAATGATCGTGGTGAAGATGATGATTAAATTAGGATTACAAATCGGGAGAGCCGGCTGCATTTCCTCTCGTTCGTTTTTTTCGACTAAACAACATTATTTTGTTAAATAACAACATGGTAATGTTTTGTAAATGATTACATGTCTTATTTAGCACAGACTATGATCCTATCCGTGACATATGGATCTTAACAAAGATCCGCTATACATTAGTACCAGACATACTGTACATCCAGTTTACTGTATCGAAGTTGATTTCACATGAGCTCCAGTGTGGAACCCCACTGCACCCCCTGGTGGATCAATGATCCATTGCAGCTGGCTTCACAATAATTACATTTATTTATCACGGGGGCGGTATCAAGTCAGACTGGGGGCCGGCTCTTCATCACAAACCGATCACGGGCCGATCACGGACCAATCACGACCCAATCACGACCCTCGCGTTTCAAACTGTCTGAAATAAGATGCTCCATCTGTAGTCAGGTTATCAAAAATATTGATGTATTTATTAAGGAATATGCAGTATATTGATATTTATGATTAACCCTTAGATGCACGAGTGACTGGACCCTACACTCTTCCATAAGTGGGTCAAAAAGGACCCGTATTAGAATAATATGTGTTTTATGCCATTTTTGTCATTTTGGTTAAGAAAAATCCCTTGTATAATATTTTGGTTCACACTAGTTTATATTTATTTTTTCACTATTTATAATTTTAGACATTCTTTTTACATTTTGAAAAAAAACGAAATTCCATAGAAAATGCATGCGGGTCATTTTTGACCTACTTATGGAAGCTTGGGGTAGTAATACAAAAACTACAATTTCTTAAAATGTATCAAATTTAAAATTTGAATGATATCCAAAACATGTTTTTTGAGGAATAGCTGGAATATGAAATGATAAAAAATGTATTTACAAAGATACTCTAAGAAAACCACCTCACCGGGTCAAAAAATACCCAATTATGCATCTAAGGGTTAAACAAATAAGCTACATGTTTTGATTATAATTTATAATTTATTAGGATTGCTTTCCACACCAAACCTTACATTAGAGCTTTAATCTCTAATCTCTAACTCCCTAATTATGTCATTTATCCTCCTCTTTTTGTGTCCTCAGGCAATAAACCTGTCATTCTGGTTTTGATGCACCACGCATATGAGGCCAAGTTCATTCCAAATGTGCAACAAGGAGCTAACGTTCAGCTGCAAGTCAACGTTTTCTTCCACGAGACGAAACATGGACTGCTCCACTGTGGAGAAAATGGAGCTGTTGTTTGTGAGATAACAAAATATTTAAAAGAGATCCCCATTCCAAATGCCCAGGTTGTGGCCACATCCTGGCCACACCGTTGGCCACACCAAACACCCTCACCACCACCCTCAAATCAGGTGAGCTTTCAAACTAAAATGTGAGATTTAATAGAGGCTACATAGAAACTAGGCCTTAATTAAGTCATTCAATATTTCTGTAATATAACATTTTTGTTTCAGAAGCCCGTTAAACAGCCCCCCCCCACAGGGGTGAATAACGGCATCCCTTCCAAGGGTATGTACAGCCTTTTAACATCCCTTTCACTTTCATATTTGGCACATACTTGCTATTTTGGTACGGTGAAAAGCCCTGGAAATGCTTGTCACTGAACTTTGAGTTTAGAGTATGTCATCCCAGACTTTGTCCTACTGGGTAAAGGGTAAACATCTGTCCACCTTAGCAAACATACGTGCTCAGTTAATCAAATCTATGTGGTTTATTTTGAGGTCACTAATTTAATTACGCTATTTCCATGACATTGTCTTTGACACACGGAAATACCCTATCCATGGTTGGTCTAATGTATAAGTAGAACACTTTGAGCTTATAACCCAAAATGAATGTCCCTTTTGGAGTTGATTTTGAAATGTTTCTTCTTCAAGAATTTTCTCATGTCAATGTTTGTTCATGTTTACAACAGCAGAGTTTTTTCAAATTCTACATGACTGGTAGAAAGTTTGGAATCATTTGTTTTATTGAAAAATCCCCAAAATTATAATTCAGCCACAAATGTATTATTTATATTGAAATAGCAAAAGAAAAACAATTAAATTAGTACATCTTCTACAAAGCTGATGGTCTCAGAGTTTGCCTGACAAGGGAGATAACTGTTTGTTACCACATTTCCCTCCAAAGACCCTTTGATTTTAAATTGTTTATCAGTTCAGAAGAGCGTATGTGACAGTCAAGTTATTTTTAGCCACAACCGGATGTTTGGGGAAATTGTTCCTCTTTGGGTCTACTGTGGTCAAATGAAATAGGGATAAACTGTGATTTGTTTGTCCATAGCATTTTCAGTTCATGTTCACTGATGATGTTATACTGAGTGCTAACCTGTAAGACTAAGCATCTATTTCTGTTGTGAGAAACAGTGTTAGTTCTTCATGGAAAACATGACTTTTTTTGCAAACATTTCATAATAAAAAGAAGATCTGTGTGTAAAGCATACTCTCTCCAACCTTAGAGTAAAGTCATATAAAGTAGTCCTCTCAGCCATTTCACTGTGTCCAATCAAGCTTTAATGGAAGGAGATCACAAACTTTTGAATGATATTGTGAATGAACCTGACTAATTGATGTTGCTGTTTTTTCTCATCAGAAGAGCCCTCCAAGGTTGTGAATAAATGGAAAGGTGAGTCATAGTTGGATAGTTAGAAACTCAGATGTTCAAATTTGTTATAACAATTTTGTTGGAACTGCATAGCAAAACACATCATTTTATTCTAGTGTAGGTTCTCTCAAGTTATGTTTGTGTATTAATCTCTTTGATATTTACATCCATTTTCCTCCCAACAGGCAAATTGATGTACCAGATGGTTGTTACCGGGACAACCTTTGATGCCCATGTTCAACTGATGGAGAAAGTGAAGAAGGATGTTAAGGATCAGTTTGATCTTGTTCAAAGCAACAGCAACGACGTCACTATTGTCTTCTGCCCCATCGTTTCTCGCATGGGGCCAGATGTTGAGTCAGCCATGAGCGACGTTAAAGGTAAGGGAACATTTGTTTCAGCCTGTTCATACTGAATGGAAATGGCTTCTACATTTGTATTCACATAAAGGTTCTTTCTTACCTGTGTAAGCATAGTCAGGTTATCAAAAATATTGATGTTTTTATTAAGGAATATACCTATATTGGTATTTATAATTAAACAAATAAGCTACATGTTTTGATTATCATTTATCATTTCTTAGGATTGCTTTCCACACCAAACCTTACATTTAGAGCTTTAATATACCATTTTCCTCCCTAATGATCTCATTTGTCCTCCTCTCTTTTTGTGTCCTCAGGCGATAAACCTGTCATTCTGGTTTTGATGCACCACGCATATGAGGCCAAGTTCATTCCAAATGTGCAACAAGGAGCTAACGTTCAGCTGCAAGTCAATGTTTTCTTCCACGAGACGAAACATGGACTGCTCCACTGTGGAGAAAATGGAGCTGCTGCTTGCGAGATAATAAAACATTTACAAGAGATCCCCATTCCAAATGCCCAGGTTGTGGCTGCTGGACATTCTGGAAAATGGAAAATGTTCGGACATTCAATTGGCTAAAGCTTTGTTGTTTATTTTATATCAGACAATGATACTACAGATTGTTCAATTATCAATTAAATGTTTCGTTTTGTTATTGCATTCATTTGTATAGTACTGTATCATGTCTGTATCACCTTTTGTTTCATTTGTATTTTCTTTAGTTTTACACGCTCGGAAAAAAAAAATAAACTAAACTAAAATCTGACAATATCCTGAAGGGGGTATGGGGGCGTTGTACCTCCAAAGATAAATTTACTTAACTTTAGATTTGGCAGTGTTGGTGCGAGCAACGATGATATGTTTTCCTCTCAAGTAAAAGTGTAATGGATCACTAACAACACAAGTCAAGCAGTCAAAATGTGATTTATCAGACAGTTTTGATTTGACTCTTCTACCATAATCTGAAAACTTAATTGTATTCTCCTTTTTCAGAAGAGAGGTTGGCTACTAATTTGTAGTCCAATTATTTATATCTCTGTAATATTTCTCCAGTTGCTACTGTGGTTTCTCTACTGTATTGTGACATGAATGTAAAGGAAGTGATTAAAGAGTGCAACAAAGCTTAGTCATTTGCCAAAAGATTCCCTTTCGAATACATACATCCGCCAGAAATGTAATTATTGCTGCAAATATTAGAATAAAATGAGCAGCACATTATATTTGGTTTTCATGCATGAATGTTAATTTTTGCTGCAATTAATTCTAAAGATTTGTTTCCCAGAGTTTATGTTATGTGTGATGACGATATACTTAATACTTTCTATAAACTGTCGTTACAGCAGGTGCAATCACTTTGTCTGAAGTCCTTTTTAGATATTTATATGACATAACATCCTGAAGCTGGAACATGTATCTTTTTGATGTAAATAGTTCAAGAATAGTGTTGACCCAAATGAATAATACACTGATAATTAAAAAAAACCTATAGGAATCTAACAAACGTTATGATACGGTTTTTGGATTAATTAACATTCTTTGTATCTTAAATGTAACCTCATTGTTGGCAGGGAAAATTCAATCGCTATCAGTTTTAGAGGTAAGTTTTATTTAAACTATCGAAGCTCTAATTGATTCTGGATGGTAGGCACTAGACACTGAATGGGAAACACCCAATGACTGCAAGGTTTGTCTAAAAATCTTGGAAAGGAAGTTAGTTCCCTGATCAGTCTGCACAACCTTCGGCAACCCAAAGGTGGTGAAAAACTTGGTCAGTGCTTTAATGATGGCGGGTGCAGTGATTTTACGCAAAGGGATTGCCTCAGGGAAACGGGTCGATACACACATCACAGTCAGCAAAAACTGATTACCTGCCTTGGTCTTCGGCAACGGACCGACACAGTCAGCAATGATATGGTCGAAAGGCGCACCCATAGCCGGAACAGGACACAACGGCGCTGGGGGAACTACCTGATTTGGTTTACCCACCACCTGGCATGTGCTACAAGTTCTACAGAAACACACTACGTCATCTTTCAATCCTGGCCAAAAGAAATGTTGAAGGATCCGGTCATAAGTCTTAGTCACACCTAAGTGGCCAGACCACAAGTGCTCATGTGCTAACGCCAGAACCTGCTGCTGACAACTCACAGGAACCACTAACTGATAAATGCTGTTCCAATCAACACCTGAACCAACTTCTGCATCACTTGATTGGTCAGCCCACCGGCGCATCAGCACCCCATCATCCACAAAAAACAACTGTTTCTTATTGCATTCATTAGGGTTCTCAGCAGCGTTGAAACACTTGATCAAGGTAGGATCATCTCTCTGTGCCGTGATGAGCGCCTCACGGGTCAAAGGCATAGCCACCTCTGGAGCAATAGCGATAGGTTCCATTTCACCATCACACACTGTTGGAGGACCCTCCACTAATCCATCAACAGAGGTCAACCTGTCATTAGATAGGGCAGAAACAAGCCAAGAATCAGACAAATCCACATCCTGAGCCTGCTTACGGGCCTGAGCTCTGGTCAAAACACTAACTGCAAATACCTCCGGATGAGTCAGCAATAGGTTATCATCTACAGCACCAGGAACTGGAATGTCAACAACCTCTGGAGTAGGATACACTTTACCTCCGGCTATATCGTTTCCCATTATGAAATCCACACCGTCGATTGGAAACCTGGGGAGTACGGCAACTGTGAAGAAACCAGTAGCCAGTTTGGACTGGATATGGACATTGTGGAGAGGTGCGGGCACAAAACCCATTTCGATACCTCTTACCACGGCACTTGCATCACAGGCGGACTCAGTACTCAAGGGCAGAGCACTGGCAAGAATGAATGACTGTGAACCACCACTGTCTCGTAACACCGTAACCTGCCGCTGGTCCTGCACCTTCCCTGATAGAGAGACAAAAGCAGTGGAGATGAACGGCTTAAAACACTCATCATGCCCCGTTTTAACAGTGGTCTGACCACTAGGACACACTGTTTTAATCAAGCCCACCCCTTTTGGTTGCTTGCCACCTGCTGCCCGCACTCGCTTCAAAGCAGCACAGTCTGCTATCACATGACCTGGGTCATGACAAAAAAAACAAGCTCTGTTTAGCCTGGGATCCAACACTGGAACAGGGAACGTAATTGTCAGGAGCTCTACGATAAGTGTCTCGCTGAAAAAAACCGCTCTTGTGTATCAGTGCAAACTCGTCTGCCAGAGTGGCAGCCTGCTGAAGTGTAGTTACTTTCTGCTCGTTCAGGTAGACTACCGTACGCTCAGGTACACCGTTTTTAAACTCCTCTAACATCATCAGCTCATACACTGAAGTAATGTCATCAGCTTTACAAGCTCTACACCACCTGTCAAAGAGGACTTTCTTCTCCCTCGCGAAGTCCACGTAAGTTTGGCCAGAAGTTTTCTTCAGGCCGCGAATACGCTGCCTGTAGGCCTCAGGCACAAGCTCATATGCCCTGAGAATTGCACCTTTAACATTCTCATACACTAAACTATCCTCGACAGAAAGAGAAGAGCAAGCCTCT